TGGAGACCTAGCTCCACAGCATCAGTTACCGTGGAGACCTAGCTCCACAGCATTAGTTACCATGGAGACCTAGCAGGTAAAAAGAGAGCCACCTTTATGACACTGAGAACTCTGACTTTAAGCCATCATACCTGCTGATCCTCTGATCTGGCTTCATGGTTCAGCCCTCAGGTGTCTAACTAACAGTCTCTGAACACTGAGACAAAAAGTAATAAATCAAACATTTTTGGCCTTTTTCCACTAAAACAATCATCTGTGGACTGACTGAGCTCTAACAACAAAGCTGGTGCAGCCTGAGAGTCAAAACTCAGAGCAAAGAGGCGCTGCTCGTTCAGGTTTTATGGTCCAAACGTTTCATCAGCTCAGATCTTCTCTCATCAGGCTGCAACAGATCATATCTTTAACCCACAATGGTTCTATCCAATAATCAGTTGACCCATGTCATCTGTAAATGCTGTTCTCATTCTGTGGACAGCTCTGGGTGGTTCATGTGACCCAGACGGGACGCCCACCTCCATGCCCTGGACCTTCAGCTTCATGTGGTCCTCTCTCGTCGTCTTTCCGTCCTTCCTTTTCTTCCAGCAGTACCCGTCCTTCCTGTACTTGACCTTCTTGCGGTTGTACAGGATGATGCTGCCATTCTTCGGCCTGAAACACAAATACACCGTCAGCACCAGCAGCCGCCCTGAGCTCTGTCTGGCAGGCTGACACAGCAGGTACCTGGTCTTCAGGCTGCAGGCGAGCCACTCCTCATGTCTGTCGAAGGAGATCAGGTAGGAGGCGATCTCCTGCAGACACACAACACACAACCTGTGATTCACTGAGCTCAGAGCCAACAGCAGCAGCAGAGGCTCCAAGCATCCGGATGAACAACTTCGTCGCTTTGTGGTGATTTAACCTCTTTGTACCAGTTTAATGTGTCTGTGTGGCTGTTTTGTACTTTTGCACGGTGTAATAAACGAATGACGGGTTAAACTCGTGACTGAATGTGACACTGAATGACATTAAATAAACTCGTTAGCTTTAGCAGCGTTAGCTTGGTTCCTTCTCTTCCAACGGGGTCGTGTTGTCATGGTGATTCAATGTGACCTCAGTGTGTTTTCACGGTGAAATAAGGATCTGATGGAAACAGAAAACTGGACTCTGACCTCGTTGGTGTTCCAGCGCAGCCTCTCAGTGGGAAGACTGGAAGAACTGGGAAGACACTCGAGCAGCTTGTTGGGAACAAACACCTTCCTCTGTCCTCGGTTCTCTGCGCGCGCACACACACACACACACACACACACACACACACACACACACACACGCACAGAGTTGTGGGTCACTGGTTCTACTAATTATCGATTGATTCCATGCAGCTCTGCTCATTTCAAACCGTTAAAGCCCTCTGACATCATCGTCACCATGGCAACACAGCTGTCAGCGTGTAGGTGAGGGTGATGTCACACAGGTGGATGGACTGACCTGTCTCCGTGGAAACCATCTCCTTGTTGCTCATGGCGACGGGTCCATGTAGGATGAGTCTCACAGAGCGCACGGCCGCCTGCACTGCCCCGCTGGACACACACACACACACACACACACACACACACACACAGACACACACACACAGTTCAGGAGTCGGATCGATAGGAAACAAGGTCGGAAACAGCACACAAACACACACCTGAAATCTCCGCTGCTCACTGGCTGGCTACGCGCACGCACGCACACACACACACACACACACACACACCTTCAATAGCTCCCAGTTGCCTAGCAACAGGCGAGTTTGCAGCCGCTTTATATGGAGTGTGTGTTCCTGACACTGTATGAGTGTGTGTTGAGTTACATAACACACAGCCTCAACACTCTGTGTGTGTGTGTGTGTGTGTGTGTGTGTGTGTGTTAACTACACATCATAAAACCGAATAAGTCCCATTAGACACACACACACGGTGACGGTTCTGAGTATTGATCATTACCTGCACTGATCGATTCACTGATCAGCCTGTGGCGGTGTGAACGGTGACACACACACACACACACACACACACACACACAGATCAAACACGTTTACTGTCACTGACGGTACAAATCAAACCAGACGACACAACATCTGTGCTGTCATGAGGAATCGATCATCTATCAGTCTGATCGATCATCAACGTCCAGCTGCTACAGTTAACAGGTGATCCAGACACACAACATGCACCTGTACGCACACACTCACAGTTATCACAGACACACAAATGATCAGAAACACCGCTGATTGATCCTCATTATCGATCACTGACGGTACAGTTAAAGCGACACAACACCTGTTCAGTGTCTGAACCCTGTCATCCAGCGCTATCATCAGTGATAGTTAATAAAGGTTAGGTTATAGGACAGGTTGCCAGTGAACAGGTGAGCCACAGAATAAAACATCCACGCGCACGCACACACACATAGGCTCGCTCCCCGGAGGCCGGGCTCAGACCGCGGACTCGCCTGGCTGCTACGGCCGCCTCCCGCAGCTCCTCCCGCGGCCGCAGCGGCTCACAGGTCCCTGCACGCTAAAGCTAACGTTAGCACGCCTGTGAGCCTGGCACCAGTGATGCTAACGTTAGACGAGGCGACAGCAGGTTTAAAGACAGACTTGGCTTGAATCCCGGCCTTTTACATTCAGCTAAACTGCTCATTAATCCAGTGACTCAGAGACACCGCTGCTGCTCGGGTACTGAGCCGCTCCGCTAGCCGGCTAGCGCAGCTCCACAGCCCCGACCCAGCGCTGGTTAAACCGCTCCGAGAGCCGAGCTGCAGGGCTTTACCTCCGGGTTCCAGCGTGCTGCGCTGGGCCGGTCAGCGGCCGCTCCCCTCCGGACGTACGGGTGAAATAAAGCGGGTGAACGGAGAGCAGCCTGCGGGGAGCGGGACGTGTTTTCAGGCTGAACACTCAGTTAAAGCTCCGCTACCTTCCGCCTTCAGCACGGCCGCCATCTTCTCTCCTCTGACGTCACCGCGTAGCCACGGCGGCGGCGNTGTTGTTGTGTTGTGTTGCATTGTTGTTGTATTGTGTTGTTGTTGTGTTGCGTTGTTGTTGTGTTGTGTAGTTGTGCTGACCTGCAGCAGCCAGTAGCATCGCCTGTGGAATGTTGGCACGATGGAGGAATGGACGTAGCAGCCGTAGAGGCACTGAAACAGAGACTGAGGTCAGTATTGATCTGCTGATGCTCTGCCAATCACCGATCAGGTACATTTCAGGTGGTACTGATGAGCTCCACCCGTCACAGCTCCACTGTTTGGGCTCAGCTGTTAGTTTAACTGCAGTAACAGACAGAGGAGACCACCTCCACCTGCTCCAACCTCAGACAGGCTCCAGCAGTGAACAGACACACAGAGTTTCAGTTTCATTAACCGTTTGGCTCAAAGACGAACTGGAACACACAGAAGATCTAAATGTGAACAACCAGAGAGCTGAACTATGAAGCCAGTTCAACAGATCCAGACTTTCTCTGTGTAGCGGCTCCACATGACCTAAAGCTCCAGCAGAGATCACATGAAGGAGGTCCAGCTTTCTCCATCAGTCAGACTTCCTGCTTCAGACTCTGTTCACAATAAAGGAGGCGTTTAACGAGACCCAGCTCCACAGCATCAGTTACCATGGAGACCTAGCTCCACAGCATCAGTTACCATGGAGACCTAGCTCCACAGCATCAGTTACC